GCCTGAGAAAAATAGTGAGATTCCATCTCTCTAAAAAAAATTAAAAAATTACTTGAGTGCGTTGGTATGTACCTACATTCCTAGCTACTCAGGAGTCTGAGGCAGGAGGATCATCTAAGCATAGGAGTTTAAGGCTATGGTGAGCTATGATCACACCATTATACTCCAGCCTGGGCAGCAGAGAGAGAACCTATCTCTAAAATAAATAAATAAATAATCAATAAAAATTATGTTACAATGAAAAATAAAAATAAATTTAAAATGTTTGCCTTGTTAGATAAAAATAAGTTCACACTTTACCCTAAAATATATTCTGTAACAATCAGTAACTTAAATGTAAAAAAAAAAAAATGATGTCATGAAAACACTGGCAGAAGATGGGGGAATATATTTGTAACCTAAGGATGTCATAAAATCCAGATGCCACAAATGCACAGTGATGAATTTACTGCATTAAAGTGTAAAACTTCTTTGTAGAAGAGAAATAAAAGATACATACAAAGCCAATGCAACAAAGAAGAACTGGAGATGTTTGCATTTCACATCAGAAAATGGCTAATGTCCTTAATGAGGGGAGCTCTTTAAAAATCAGTATAAAAATCATGAGTACAAAAAACGAGCAAAAGATGTGAAAAGGCAACTTGGAAATAAAGTTACCAAAGACCAAGCAACATATGGAAAGATGTACAGCCATGTTTACCGTTGAACACAAACTGAAATAAGGTGGAGATTTTTTAACCTATCACATTGAAAGCATTTAAATCCTTTTGGCAGAAGTAAAGAAATGAGTATTCTATATCTTAATGGCGAGAGTGAAAACTGATCGAAAAAACTGGCAAATTGGCAAGATATATTGACGTCCTACTTATGAATTCAAAGTTTTTCTCTTTGAAGGAATTTATTCTGCTTTTAGTATGAAAAAAAGCATTTAGTATGCTTTTAGAAGTGTATGAAGATTATTCATTTTAACACTGTAATAATGGAAATCTGAAAATGGACATACAGTACACTATCCTAGACCATTAAAAAGATACAGTAATCTGTGTATACGGGGAATGTAAGATGTCTAAGATATGTTCTTGAGTAAAGAAAACAAGTCCCAAAACAGTAAGAATAGTATACTCTCATTTAAGGTTAAGAAAAGGATATACAGTATTGGGGGGGGGGGGAGAGAGAGAGCGCGCGAGAGAGAGAGGGAGTGTGTGCGTGTGTGTGTGTGTGTGTGTGTGTGTATGAACTTTTCCTGTTGTGTCTGAATCTAGGCTGAGATTTCAAAATTGATAACAGTAAGTAATGTGCTCCCCCATGTTGTAAATAGAAGTCCTATCTTATCCATTTAGGACTTGCTAAAAGGTGAACAAAACCCTACACTGTGACCCTTAGCCCATCACCTACAGTCAGTCTGTATGGAAGAGGATATTAGAGGTTGATCAGAATGAGGAAGTAGAGGAGAACTTGGATAATAGCTGTTGGCCCAATAGCGTCAGAGCTCCAGGGGGTTGCCTGCCTCACGATAGAAGCTTCACAGGGTACCAAGTCAGAGAAAAAGAGAACTTTGAAGAGAATGGGGGCTCACCAGAGGGAAAAAAAGGCATCCCACCTCCAGCTCAACTGTTGCCAATCTTCAGAAACTGAGAAGTATTCCTCTTGTTGTAAGAGAGTATAGTGAGAAAACTCTTGGGTGAGCTTGACCTTTGTTCTCTAGAACTCAGGGGCGCAGAAAGAAGTGCCTGCCTGTTGCCTGGAAAAGGCTGAAGGGTGGCCAGAGTGAACTGCTAGGATGAAGCAAAAAAAGAAGGCTGTGGTGGGAATAGGCTCTTCTTTCAGGCTTCTGTGGGGCAGTAATGCCAAGCTCTCCCATGGGCCAAGTGATCCTCCTGGAAGATTGCCAAGCTAGTGCCATCTTGAAAAGAACTTGTCCCCAGAGACCTGGCTGCCAAGCCAAGATAACCCCAGCTGAAACATTCTGTTGAAGGAGGGGAACCGCTCTGATAGGCTGAGAGAGCACCTCCCAAAACAAATGGTTCAAGGAACAGAGAACAAAAGTGCTGCTTCAGCAGAGGGCATTCTCTGAAAAACCTACAAAACCATCTATAAAGGAAAAAGCCAGCATTAGGTATGCACCATCCAGAGGGCACTGATCTGATTACAAAGCACCTCTTGGGCAAGCCCTTGTTCTGTTACCTCTCCTCCTGCCCTCAGCCTGGTCCTGGAGTAGCCAGGTTCAGCAGGCCATCCAGAGGAGTGGGAAACCAAGGAAGAGTGGAGAGAAAAGCCAAATCCCACCTTCCTCTTCCTCACTGCAGATTTTTGACCCAAAAGCCAGGCCTATGCTGGGGAGAGGGGAGAAGTTTAAAGTGAGATATGAGAAAAAACTTTTGATTTTGATCAGATTGACCTTTTAAATATATTTTAAAATAAAAGAATGTTTTAACATCTAGACATGTTAGGAAAAGCCATAGGATATGTTTACATACTGTCCAAGGTCTTTGGAGGGAGGCTAGTCAAATGGGTTTGAAGGGCTTGAGTTAGAGAAAAAATAAAGCTACTTTTCTGATTTCACTGCATTTAGCCTAGCCCATTCACTATATCAGTTACACATGCATTAAACACTCCTGGAAAGATAAACAAGACACTGGTCGCTGTGCTTACTCAAATTGTATGATTAGGGCAACACCACACAGGAGGAGGACTGATCACCTCATATTCATCTATACTTTTTACATTTTTAAAATGACAATCATAAATTACTCTTCAAATTGAAGATGTTTTAAATATGGAGCTAATACACACTTTGTGTACAGATAAATTTATGAAAACTCATTGCCTATGGCATTTATAGTATCTTTCCCAGAATCCTGTCCTTCACCTTTTGCATGGTTAACTATTGCCTACTTGGCCTAATCAGCCTGTATTGGGTGGAGTTCCCTGACCAGCTAGTTAGCCCCACAGGGCACCAGAACCTTCTGGCATCTATCCATCAAAGTGTGCTAGAGAACAAATAGACCACAGAGGCAGGCTCCAGACAGCCAGTGCTGTGGCCAGTCTCACCTAACCAGGAGCATCAGCAGCTGCATTCCTTAAGACTTGAAAGGTGCTATCAGGGCTCCTGGGGTATTGGTGATGTTTCAGAAGGCATTCCCAGTATGAATAAGCCCAGGTCTGGAGACTTCCATATTTTAAACGGGGATACTCTTTCATCCCCCACTAGTCCTTCATTCAATACACAGTGACAACCTAGTACACTGTATTATGCCTGATACCTATTCAGCATGTCATGAAAAAGCAAACAAACTGTTGACAATGCTGAGGGAAGAGGAACGTTCATCAAGGGCCCCTTTTCCTATGAATTATTTTATTTATATTCGGTTTCAAGTCAAGCCAATGGTATATATGGTCTATGTGCTTATAAACACCTATGACAGTGGTAGCTAGTTGCTCACCTTCAGGGTAAATGGTCTGAGAGTAGCCTGCTCATCTGATAGCTCCGTCAAAAGGTTAGAAGGAATCCAAGAAAAGCTACGCTCTAAGGTCTCTATCATTGCCAAAGTCCTCATGCCTTTGTTGTTGTTGTTGTTATTATTATTTTGAGACCAAGTCTTGCTCTGTCACCCAGACTGCATTGCAGTGGGGCATCTCAGCTCACTGCAACTCCACCTCCCAGGCTGAAGCTGGGATTACAGGTGCCTGCTACCATGCCCAGCTAATTTTTGTATTTTTAGTAGAAATGGGTTTTCATTAAGTTGGCCGGGCTGGTCTCGAACTCCTGACGTCAGGTGATCCACCTGCCTTGGCCTCCCAAAGCGCTGGGATTAAAGGCATGAGCCACTGTGCACAGCCAGCCTCATGCCTTTAAATGACAGTAGCCAAAAAACATACCTCAACTTGCAAATCTCTGTCCTCCTTTCCACAGAGGGGACATTTCTGGATCTCACTATATTTACTCTTCTAAAACCTATGACTAGAGAGCAATATACTCCAGCCTCAGGTGGAAACAGCCAAAACCTCTCTCCATTTGCTCCAGGGAATGCTGGGGAGCCTGTGGAGAAAAAGGCAGAAGTGGATGTTGCACTGCCACCTTGCCCCAGCCCTAAGCCCGCAGAACACCCTTTTGGGCCTTTGACTCTGAGGGTGCCTAGGCCTCCTTATGTACAAGCACCACTCTGGGGAATGTGCCGGGTTGACTCCTAGCAGCTGTCATCCAGTCCGATGGGTTGCAGGGCATGAATCTCTGAAATTCAAGACAAGGTAAGAACCAAGGAAAAGGAGGGCCAGACATGGAGAACATCCAGAAGGGAGCAGTGTAGAGAGGGAAGGGCAAAAATCAGTCAGCATCTCTAGCAGTAGCCCAAATCCAGATCCATGGTCAGGAGCCAAGGTAAGTACCCGAAGCAAGAGCAAGGCAGCAGAGGAAAAAGGGTATTGAGGGAGGGTGGAAAAAAGGAAAGGTCAAGAACTAGATTGTTTTTGAAAAGCAGAGGCAAAAAAGAAACTGGAAGCAGAGGCAACTTCCATTTAGGCCTGGAAGCTGGCTTCCTCTTTCAGTAGGCTCTCACTGTACTTAAGGAACATGACCTGATGGGTCATGCCACCGACACCCAGCCCCCTCCCACCACCGTGGGTAGCAAGACTAGACAAATGGCTAACAGGATAATTAATCTGGATTCTGGAACATGCATATGATGAAAAACATAGAACCTATCTCTGACTGGTTAAGCACTACCACAAGACTGCTGGGAAAGGAAGCTGCACAAGGCTAAAATAGAACAATTAATTAACAATGCAAAAGAACATACTCTGAAAGGTAAGGACAGGAAGCACTCCATAATCCTATAAATTATTCCTGCTTATTGAGTGCTAAAAGCACAAGTTCCAGACATGTATAAATAATATATTTGTATAAATAATTGAAAACACAAGGAAAATTACATAAGCAAGAACCAAATCTAAATTTAGCAAGGCCTCTAGCTTTTAGAACCCCTACACATTACGCTTCTCACCAAGCTCCAGGATCTTATCCGGGACAAAATCAAGATAAGAAATATTTCACAGTATCATGTAGACCTGGCCACAGCACTTCCTTTCTGTGATTTTCAGTTTTCGAACCTACCAAAAAAAAAAAGAGACAAAGAGAGATCCGAAATCAATGAGCTCTAAAATCCCTTCCAGCTCTGACATATATCTCCTTAAAAATTACCGGAATAGGCCATGTGCAATGCCTCACGGGCAGATCACAAGGTCAGGAAATCGAGACCATCCTGGCGAACATGGTGAAACTCCATCTCTACTCAAAAGAAAATACAAAAAATTAGCCGGGCACAGTGGCACACTCCTGTAGCTACTTGGGAGGCTGAGACAGAGGAATCATTTGAACCCAGGAAGCGGAGATTGCAGTGAGCCAAGATTGCGCCACTGCACTCCAGCCTGGGTGACAGAACGAGACTCTGTCTCCAAAAAAAAAAAAAATTCTGGAATATTTATTAATTAGGAACCTGTTTATACTTCTATTTTTCAGGAAAATAACTTGTAAGTTTGATTTTGTTTTTATTACAAAATCCCCAGTGTAAACCTCAATGTCTCTGAGCATCCCAAACATCTCTGCGTTTCAAATTTATGGCTTGACCTATCCTTAAGCAGCACTTCCTGTAATGACATTGGTAATCTTGGTTTGGTGTTATTTAAGCTAATGGATGATTATCTTCAGCCAAAAGAGTATACTTTAACTACAACCTTTGTATATAAATTAGCAAATTGTTTCTCCTTCCTTGGGAAATTAGTTTGTTGTCTCTTTCTTCCCTAGAAAGACTTTACCTGGTGCCAAAACCTCTAGTGTAAATTAAATAAATGGGCTTAATTTTCTAGGTTGTGTGAAATATAGGAGTGTGCGTTCCAGTCTTCTTTCCTCCAATAATCATCATGCTTGATTTTAGACACAAATTACCAAATAACCACCAATAGCCTTGGTTAATAGCAAAGGGAAAAGTTAAGAGCATTCGAAATTTGACATAGCTTTCTCTATAACTGTTTAGACTCAGAGATAACAAGTAAAGCACAACTACCATTTATTGAATGTGGACCATGTGACAGTATCTCTAATATTATGACAGTTTAGCAAAGTAGATATTTCCAAGGAACTGAGTCTGAAACGTTAAATAACTTGCCTGTGAGCACAGAAGAAACATAAATGAGATGTAATCCAGATCTCATCAGACTCCAAATCAAATGCTCTTTCTAATATTCTCACAATAGTCTCACAAGTCTCAAAACCATGCTGTGCCATTCAAGCCCATAGGCCTTAGAGATGGTATATCAGTGTGTGAATCCTTGATTTAGAATTTACTAGCTCTGAGGTATTGCATAAGTTTCTTTGCTTACTTGAGCCATGGTTCTCTCATCTGTTGATAGCAATAGTTATTTATTGCATAAGGTTAAATATGTGATATCACAATGATACAAATATATGCACTTAGCACATTCCTTGTATACATCCCTTGGGGTTGGAGACCCCAGCATAGTGATCCAGTTTTACCAGTCTGTTCACCTTAAGTACACACCCAACTAAATCACATGCAATGGTCACTCCAACTTTTGCCACAAGTAATAGGGCTTCACTTTGGAATTATGTGGTTTAATCCTCACACAATTACTGTGTTTCAAATTGCATCACAATTCTTCAGGACTTTTTCAATGGCATTTTCAATCCTCATACAGAATTCTGGGATCCATGTTAAGGAACATTACCCAAGTACAAAAGTAACCACAAAAGTAAGAGTTTTTCCCAAGTACAGTGTAGAACAGTTGTTTTCTACTTTCTGTGTTTTAAATTTATGTGAGAATACTATTTCCAAATCCAGTGCAGTACTATCTCAAGATTACACTTTCCTTGTAATCTTACCCATTGCTATAATTTGAATTTTTGTGCCTCTCCAAGATGCATTTATTTCCAATGCAACAATATTAAGAGGTGGGGCTGCCTTTAGGAGGTGATTCGGTCATGAGGGCTTCCTTCTTTAGAAGGGTTAACATCCTTCTAAAAGAGGCTTCACCCAGCCTTCTGCCCTTTCTGCCTTTCCACCTTCTGCTATGTGAGGATGCAGAACTTAAGGTACCATCTTGGAATCAGATACCAGGCTCTCACCAGATACTGAACCTGCCAGCACCTTGATCTTGGACTTTCTAGTCTCCAGAATGGTAAGAAATACATTTCTATTATTTATAAATTGCCCAGTCTCAGGTATTTTGTTACAGCATCTTAAGAGGACTAAGATACTTGGTGTATCTTAGTCCTTAGAAATGATTTCTTTGGTGTCACCAAAATATTCCTACCCTGTATTACTATATATCTGATACCATAAAAAGAGAAAAATTAAATTGTTTAGCTACCGCAACTTTACACCCTTATTCATTTTTCCCTAAATTTGTGTATATACCTTCCCCTTAAAGTTGATCAATAGTCACAAATCAATGTAAGTATTTATTGCCATTTACCATGTACATTTATAATTATTGATAACTAGATTAATGAATATGAAACTGAAGGGATTCATTCTTTTTAAACACAAAGCATACGTTGTGAGCTTCAAAATATTTGGAAACTGCTTTCAGATTTGTCTTAAAATTGATTCTGTTATCTTAACTAGAAATAATTGAATCTAGCCTAGGGTGGTTTTTTAAATCAAAGTGACTTCAAAAAGTGAACCTAATTCAAGTGAAAGTAGGCATATAAGCCTAAACTTACCAAGATCACTGGAAATGCTGAACATATTAACTTGAAGCTTTCCCTTGATACAGAATTGTAGTATTGAACAGAATATCACCAGGACAATTTTTTTTAATCTCACACAAAAGTAACAGGATTAAATGTGTCTTTGATGAATGATATTAAATTCTTTAAAAAGAATTCCACTCATATAAAACCATCCAATCCCAATTGGCCATCGTCACTGTGATTTCCTGATCTATGACTTCTTTGTCTCCAACTCCATGCTCTGATTGCAACTGTCACTGAGTCACACAGCCTGCTCTAGGCATGGAGCCAATTTGATTACAACAACTGCTTGTGTGAGAGAAAAAGGTAGTTTTCAGGGCCTTAGCAAATGGTTCACCCAAGCTTCTGCCTCTGGAGCATAAATTTTGACTGTCGTTCACAAGATATAAAATAAATATGCACCTAACTTAGTAAACCAACAACCTGAAAAATGCATATAAACACGGTGTTCTATAACTAGGACGCAGAAGGAATGATTAGACTGGTCACACCCTAGACTTATAAAAAGCACACATGAGCACAACCACATTCCTCAAAAGCACAATTTTCATGTTCTCAACACATTGGCAATCTTATTATTTTCCAGGGTTACAATTGTGGCTTGCTCTTTTCTGAATCCCAGGTGTCTAATATATGGTATACGAATAAAAACTATTTATTTCACTGAGGTGGAATAAAAGTTACTAAGTTACCTAGAGACAGAATGGTACCTGCTAGGTAGCCTTTTCCTTGCAAAAAGCTGCTAATTCAGGGCTTGGGGGTACAGGAAGATGAACGGAAATATAACTACTCTTTTAGTCTTTAAAATTGGAATGAATTATTCAATTTTAAATGAGTTATTTTTGTTTCATAGCCTGCTTTTTAAAAAAACATATCAAATAATAGGGTATTGTAGTAAGGCAGTTAATAAAAAAATTATATATGCAAATAAGATAGTCTAACCACTATGACAAATGAACAACAAGACATCACTCCATTTTCATTTCCATGTTGTCTTTTATGATTTGCATCTAAAATATAACCTATATTAAGATTATTCAAATCCCTGGAAAGAAGTAAACCTTTAAAAAATATATTTCTCCCTAACTAATAGTACATCCTTGTTTTATTCATCTCTTATAGCTTGCTCAACAAACCTGTATTAAATAGGCACTTGAGGGAGAGAGAAAAATAGACTAAAAAATAAGAATAGTAGCTACCATATAATGAACACTTCTTAGTCTCCGTTTCTATGCTAGTGCTTTACATGTATTATCTCATTTTCTTATCTCAGCAGACCTATGTGGTTGCTACCATTCTTACTTCCACGTTACATTTAAGAACAGTCAGAGAGGTTAAGTAGTTTGCCCAAGGTCCCCTGTCTAATAAGTAACAAATTTGAAGCTCAACCCAGAACTTTTTGACCCCAGAATCCAGTTCTTTCCTGTTTATACACAGAGATAGAACCAAAGGAGAAGATACACTTTCCTATTCTAATCTGCAATTTGGACAGCCAATAAGACATGTACCTGAAACAATTTGAATGACTCTAAAGGTATATAAAAGGTAGTATAAGCCCAGGTAGGTCGGGTGCGGTGACCCATGCCTATCATCCCAGCACTTTGGGAAGCTGGGGTGGGCAGAGCACAAGGTTAGAAGGTCAAGACAATCCTGGCCAACATGGTGAAACCCCATCTCTAAAAAAAATATAAAAATTAGCTGAGTGTAGTTGTGGGTGCCTGTAATCCCAGCTTTTTGGGAGGCTGAGACAGAAGAATCACTTGAACCAGGGAATTGGACATTGCAGCAAGCCAAGATCTTGCCACTGTACTCCAGCAAGGTGACAGAGCGGGACTCCATCTAAAAAAAAAAAAAGCACCCAGGTAAAGGGCTACTCTTTAGTAAAGTAAACAACTATTTAAGCAATTTAGAACTTTGTAAATCCCAGGAAGTAAACCCCAGGCCAGAAATAATCTGCAATTTTTAGTCATCCCCAACCTTCCTCCCTTTAGAATATTCACCTCCCAGCTCAGCAGACTTTTTCTGTTTGCGTTTTGCAGCTGGGTTGTCCCCCAGGGCACTCAACTTTCCATAGATTTCTTGGCCTCAGTAAAAACTTATCCTTCTGCCCTCTTAGTTAGCTAAGTCAAAGCTAGGCATTTTCAAAAAATATTCTACTAAGAAATGAAGAGGGAAATGGATGAATAGGAGAAAGAAGAGGAGGAAGGCAGAAATTAAAAAATTAATAGAGCGTAAGGAAGAGTACTTGAATTTAATGAAAACTAATACTTAAAAATGTCAGCTTTTTTTTTAGATTGTTTTGTTGCTTTGTTTTCTACTCCTAAAAAAAGCCTACTCAAATATCTGTCCATTTAATTTCATAAATTCAATGATCTCAAGTTTCTTTCTTTGCATTTGATTGGGAACAGAAGTAGGTGATAGCTAAGGTTTCTCTGCCTATTGTGCTTATATTATTTAATTATGACAGCATAATGAAAGTGGTATAATCAACAGGTTTTTATGGCAGACAACTGAGATTCTGAAAAATGAAATACCTTTACTAAGGGCCCTTAGCTAGTCAGAAGCAGAGATGAGCAGGATTTCCATACAGGCTCCTTCTCTCATAGCTTCCCTTTGCAACCTTCGGAACCCTCCCCTTATTTTGTCTGAAGGCACCTCTTTGTGCCTCTCCGTCCTTCGCTTTCTCTCCTGAACCCACAGTGGAAGCAAAAGTCTCAGCCTTTGGGCAGTATACTTAAAATGGAGGCTTAGAGATTACATGTGAATACTCTCAGAATTCTTGGGTTCAAGTCTTTATGGACTCTGCATGTGTGTAACTGTCACTTTGAGCAAATGCCTTAACGTTTCTGGGATGAAGTTTTCTCATCTGTGAAATGGGAGTGAATAATGCTACTGCAAACTTAGAGGGTGAAAGCTAAACATATAAGCACTGAGATAAAGTGATCCGAGCTGTACCTGACGCAGACAACCATTACATAATTGCTAGCTGCTGTTATTAGAGTTGGTACATAGAAAGAAATAAGAAATTTAGACTTTAACACTCTCCGTAAAACATGACATATCCCCACTCACTGAGTCACTCTGCTGCTGATGGGTTGAATTTATGGTTTGAGTCAATAATGGTAAACAGCAAAGAATTCCCAGAAAAAAAATCATCTTAGAATATCCCATGTCAATACACTCTATTACATTGCTCTTTGAAGCAATGTGTCATCTGGAAGGAAACAAATCCTGCGTTGGCCATTTTGCAGGTATGTGTATTTCTTTGAGTGAAACAGGAACTATAGCTACACAGTTATTTCTCTAGAGGCTAGAATAACCTTCAGAATTTGTAGTTAAATGTTTTTACTGAACACAACTACAGCCTTCCAACTACCTTTCGATCCAATACAGATGTTATAAAAACACTCCCAGAGAAGGCAGGTTCAAAGATAGCCCCAAAGTTGAATTATTACCCTAAATGGACTTTTCCTCTTAGAAGAAAATGTTTTTATTTTATTAAAGAGATATCCATACAGATAGTGTATCTCCATCTAGTTCTACTATGGTCTATCTATCTGTCTGTCTATCTAATCTAATCTATCTATCGAGAGAAGATGACATAATTTAGAGGATGAGAGGAAAAGATTTGTTTACAATGATGACCATTTAAAGAAAACCTGATTGCATGAGATATAGCTTTAAGTCAGTTTGTTTTCAATGACCTGAAGGATTTAATAAGTCCTTTAAAAATAGACTGATTGGTTGGGAGATAGGCTAGCTAGGAAAAGTCAGTAAGTCTTTGGCTTAATATTTTCAGCAAAATTAATAGTCCTGCTATACTATATATTGACTTCACATGAAGCCAAACTTCTACTTACCTCTAGAATTTATCAGTTATTCTTAGAACATTTTGGATGAGGCCTGGGCAATTTTATTTTTAATACATTGCTGAGGAAATTCTGTTGAATACCAAAACTTGGGTATTTAAGTTTATTTATTTATTTATTTTGAGATGGAGTTTCGCTCTTGTTGCTCAGGCTGGAGTGCAATGCCATGATCCCGGCTCACTGCAACCTCCACCTCCCGGGTTCAAGAGAGTCTCCTGCGTCAGCCTCCGGAGTAGCTGGGACTACAGGCACCCGTCACCATACCCGGCAAGCATCTGTAATATTAATAGAGAGGGGGTTTCACCATGTTGGCCAGGCTGTCTCAAACTCCTGACTTCAGGTGATTCACCCACCTTGGCCTTCCAAAGTGCTGGGATTACAGGCATGAGCCACTGTACCAGCCCAGATATTTCAGTTTGACTGGCGTTTGTCACCATTACAAATTACTCTGTGATGACATCTTTATAAAAACAGCTTATTTTTTTGTGCCTATTTCCTACGTGCCAGCCAATATGCTATATATTTCCTTAGCACAGATTATCAAGAGATGGAATTACTGAGATAAATTTTGTATTTTTTAAAGGTTTTGATCCCCATTGCAAAGGTGCCACTCCAGAAGGTTTGCTCTGTGGCCACTTCTGAGGTATGCTCCACACTTGTACAGTGGGAAAAACACTAATGGCTGGATTTTACGAAGACTAGCATTGAGCTATCAGTTCAGTAAGCACTCTCAAACAGTGGCTCATTCAAGAGACTTAGAAAAGATCTAGCACAATGTCCTGGCTGGCACATCATATCTTAGCAGCTATTGTTGCTAAAAGTAGCACTCCTGAGTGGTTGCTTCCAGGAAGGCCTATCCAAAAATCCAGCCACAGGGTCTGTATTCTGTTTCTGGGAACTGGCACATTTCACATGTTGTCCTTTCTAGGGCCCACCAAGGCGCAACTATCTCCGGTAGTCAAGGGAACACAGAGTAATGTGGAAATGCTTGGTCCAAGATCATTTTTTATAGAATTCAGTATAAAAATGTTCTGATATCAAACAAAAATATATACACTGACCTATGTGCCCAGGTCATAAAGAAATTAAAGCTGTCCTAAGAAAAATTTAATCACATAAGCATACTAGAGTGATCCAGTAAGCAAAAAAAAAAAAAAAAAAATGTTTTTTCTTCCATTCCACTCTTTTCTTGGATTTACAAGGAAGGAAATGTGTGGAAAATTATGAATAATGTGAATTACATTTTCATACCAGATCTCAGCCTCCTATTGTGGTCAGGGACGGAAGAAATCACTTGAAGGGATGGGATTTTTGTGTATAAGACCAGTGTGAGATGCTTTTTGGCTACCTACACAGATATTTTTAGTATGACAGTAGCAACCTGTTATAACACTAGCATTAGAAAACAAAGCCACTTTATTTTCAAAAACAAGGTTGATTTAGTGAACATCACTACATAACAGCATCTATATACATATAGTAAA